CTTTCATGGGGTGATCTGGGGCCCAGTCTCAGCCGAGGAATTCAGGGGGCTGAGGGGGGAAGGGGTTTACGCTATCCCTGCATCCTTGGTCGTGGACGGCATGTCTGTCCTCTCGGCCGTCGCCGTGGATCTAGTGCGTTCGCCTTCAGAACGTAGCATGGGAGGCCACCGGTGGTGGTTCTTCGACCAGCTGCGTACCAAGCAGATGACCGACATGCTGTGGTGCTATACTCGTGACGTGAGGGCTGGCCCCATGGCGAAATGTACTATCGACTGGGAGCTGATCTTGGACGTGATGTGCGGGAATCTCAAGTACGACCACCCCGCGTTCAGATTGAGCGACGAGAGGCGCAATAATACCGTGCCTAGTTCCCAGCATGGCGACTTCAGAGTGGTGGAGGAAATTGTATCGCTTACGAAATGAGCAGCCAACAATTTCATTGCATGTATTGTGGCTGCAGGATACGTCATCAGCGGCCGCGTGTCGGCGAAGTGTGTTCGCGAATTGTGTTCGCCACAGGCGACGACGTGGCAGAACTGAGGGGAGACATCGTCAAAGGCGAACTATGTTCGCAAATTCGACTTGGTGAGTCATCCATGAGGGGTTGTATTTGCGAGCTGTGTTCGTTGGGCAGCAGCTTTGGCTGTGCAGCACGTAGTCATCTACTGTGCTCTTGTAGTTGTCGGCTTCCTCTTCTCCTCCTGTTTATTGTGTTGGGTGGTTCGTTTGCCGGCTTCGGCTAGTCCAATGGGGTCCCTGGAAGTACCCTCGCCCATCCCATGGGCGCCGTGAACATTTTTCCCAACCCTCCTGCGTTGGGTACTCGTTTTGAATAGAGCACTGCGGTCTCCGTTCTCCTCCTCCCGCCCCCCCCCTCTCTTCCCTCCTCCTCTCCTCTCTTGCTTGCCTTCTCCTCCTCTCTTCGCTCCTCCTCTTCTCTTCTCTTGCCTTTCACGTCGTCCCTGGCGGGCTGCGATCTGCGGAACTGTCGCCACTTTCGAGGGCTGCTGGTGGGTCCAGCGGAGTGAGGCACCACGGGGACTCAGATTAGACCTCGCCATCCCTGGGGGGGGGGGCTGCGATCTGTGAAACTGTCGCCACCTTCGAGGGCTGCTGGTGGGTCCAGCGGAGTGAGGCACCACGGGGACTCAGATTAGACCTCGCCACCCCTGGGGGGGGGCTGCGATCTGTGAAACTGTCACCACCTTCGAGGGCTGCTGGTGGGTCCAGCGGAGTGAGGCACCACGGGGACTCAGATTAGACCTCGCCATCTCTGGGGGGCTGCGATCTGTGAAACTGTCGCCACTTTCGAGGGCTGCTGCTGGGTCCAGCGGAGTGAGGCACCACGGGGACTCAGATTAGACCTCGCCATTTCTGGGGGGCTGCGATCTGTGAAACTGTCGCCACTTTCGAGGGTTGCTGGTGGGTCCAGCGGAGTGAGGCACCACGGGGACTCAGATTAGACCTCGCCATCCCTGTGTGAAACTGTCGCCACTTTCGATGCTGCTGGTGGGTCCAGCGGAGTGAGGCACCACGGGGACTCAGATTAGACCTCGCCACCCCTGGGGGGGGGCTGCGATCTGTGAAACTGTCGCCACTTTCGAGGGCTGCTGGTGGGTGGCCAGCGGAGTGAGGCACCACGGGGATTCAGATTCTGACCACGAGCAGTGCTCGCGTGCCCTTGCTCTGCGGTTCGTGCCGCGTGGCGCTGCGACTCGAGCTGGCGGTCGTCCTTCGGACCCGCAGAAACATCTGCTGAGCTCGATGAGCTAGGGGAACTACAGGAAAGAACTGCAGGAAACGGAGGCCGGTCATGCACTCGCCGATACCTCGTTGCTCTGTCATCGTCTTTGCTGTTGCATGATCCTTATCTGGCCTGCCGGCGCCGCGGCTCGAGCTGGCGGTCGCCCTTCGGGCCCGCGGGAACATCTTCTGAGACAAGTGGACGCCGCCGCCTTACTTGCAGGCAGCGCATTGCATTCGCGGACAGCAGCATGGCAGACCGCAGTGAGATCCTCAGTCGCGTGGTGTTGCCAAGCCTGGTGGAGACGCGCGTGATCGACCTGAAGTCCCAATCGCGCGTGCACTGTACCTGCGTGGCGTTCAGGCACGCGCGTGATGCTGCTCGCTCCGCGTTCAACCAGTACGTCGCCAGTGCAACTTTGGACGATGGACAACCGATTGATGATACGCGACCCCGGCCTTGAGTTTCTTTCCCGCGGGCCGCCCGCAGACCTGGCGGCGCGCCTGCGAGCGTTCAGCTCCCGCGCTGAAATGTGCGGGAAGGAGGCGGAGAAGCTAGCGGGCGAGCTACGCCTCGCTCGTTCCTTGCACTCTAAACAAGTTTTATCATGTGGAACTCTGCGACGACATGGCGCAGGCAGCGCTGCGGGTTTAGCTCGCACTTGAAAAACGCGGCAGTCTTCTGTCTCCTCCCGCCACTTTCATCGTCGTCCTATTCCCCGCCTCACCTTCTCCATGCATGCTGCTGCTTCCGCGATGGCCTTTCGCCCCCCCCGCCCTCCATTCCATCCCTCTCCTACCCCTCGTTCCCGTGCCCGTTCTTCTTCGATCCTGGGGCCTCAAGCCTCGTTCTTTCGATCGTCGTCCTGTGAATCGTGCAGCGCATGCGCATCCCATGTAGCTTGCACAGCAAATCGCCGCGTCTACACTGTCGTTGTTCCTGCTAATGTTGGCATACTCCTCTTGCCATTTGATGCGCGTGGGTTGGGTACGTCGCAGGGTATTTTTTGCGATTTGCGCTGTGGAAGGGCCATTGTGCTTTCGGGGGTGGAGCGAAGTCCAAACCCCGTGGGATTTGCGAAAACGGCGAGCCCTTTCCCGGCTGCAAGTGTTTATGAGGCGTCGTTGGTTGCAGCAGTGTGTGCGTGTTGTGACCGGCGAGGCGCAGCCAGTTTCGTTTACGAAGGCACCAGGTTCGAACAGTGACCTACTGATTGTTCGTTGTTTTCTGCCTCGCCTACTGTTCCCCAATCAGAAGTTGCTTCTGTAGGGATCCTAGCGGATTCATACGGGTGCGTCGCCGATTTCGGTGGCCGGCCCGGGTGCCCGGGTGCCTGGGTGTCCGGGGGTGCCCGGGTGCCTGGGGGTGCAGCCTTGCAACCCTATACCCCTGCAGCCCTATAGCCCTGTAGCCCTATAGCCCTATAGCCCTGCAGCCTTGGAGCTTTAGAACCCTAGAACCCTATAGTCCCATAGCCCTATAGCCCTGTAGCCTTTTAGCCCAATATCTCTATAACCCGATAGCCCAATAACCCAATAGCCCAATAACCCCTATTGCCTTATAGCCCTATAGCTATATAGCCCAACACCCCCCATAGCTTTATAGGTCTATGGCCCGACAGCCCTGATTGTTTTTTTTTCTCTGGTGCCATTCTCTTTTTTTCACGGTCGTTTTGGTTCAGGGGCACGATCGGGTGGCCACCCGTCGTGCCCGCGTTAGACTCGCTTTAGCCACGCGTTCAGGTAACATCGTCATTTTACCCCCACATACACTTTCATGGTTCTCCCCCCCCTCCCGCGGCTTCTCCCTCTGGCCATCCTGGCTTATGTCCCTTCCTCCTCCTTCCTCCTCTTTCTCTTTCTCTTTCTTTTTCTCTTTCTCTTTCTCTTTCTCTTCCTCTTTCTCTTTCTCCTCCTCCTCCTCCTGCTCCTCCTCTCCACCTCCCAGCCCCCTTTCCTCCCCGTCCCACTCTCCGATCCTGGACTGCGTCCCGCGAGCTCCTTGAGGCTAAGGTATCAGCAGCGCTAGTTCTATGCGCGCCGAGGTCTGCCTGTGCGCGGCATCTCTCAGCCCAGACTGCGCCCGTGCTCCATGCGCGTTTTGTTGGTAGTTTTCTGTATTTGTGTGGTTCTATGTTCGTTAGTATGTTGGTTCTTTGTTTCGCTTTGCCTGGGGCGTTCCCAGTTGTTTTTGAAGAGCCGGTGGGTTCCCGGCGTGGCAGGCAGGCCTTCCTTGTGGTTGCCCGGTTGCCTGGCCTTTTTCGGGTCGCCCAGATATCTGGCCTTCCTGGGGTTGCCTGGCCTTCCTCGGGTTGCTCGGTTGCCCAGTTGACCGGCCGCCCGGTTGCCCAGTGTCCAGTTGCCCGCATGTTTCGTTGCCAAGCTTGCCCGGGATTGCCCAGGTGTCGGGGTGCCAAGCATTGCACAGAAATGCGATGTCCAGCTCAGCAAATCAAATCAAAGCACAGCTAACCAATGCCAAACCATGCCAAGCAATGCCAGGTAATGCCAAACAGTGCCAAGCAGTACCGTTCAATGCCAAACAAAGCACTGTCAAGCAATGCATCATAATTCCAATCAATGCCAAGCCATACCTAGCAATTCCAAGCAATGCCAAGTAATGCCAAGCACTGCGAAGCAATGCGAAGCAGTGCTAAGCATTGCGATTTAGTGCAAATCAATGCCAGGCAATACAAAGCAATGCCAACCAATGCAGTGCAAAGTAACAACATATGAAACACAACGCATCAAAGCAATGCGAAACAATGCGAATCAATGCGAATCAATGCGAAACAATGCGAGCCAATGCCAATCAATGCCAAACAATGCGGCAATGCCGAGCAGCGCAAAACAATGCCACTCAATGCAATGCAATGCGAAACAAACAAATGCCAAGCAAAACAACGCAAATCTAATCAATGACAAACAACGCAAACAATGCACATCAATGCGAAGCAATGCAACGCACTGCCACTCACTGATACGCAATGCAATACAATGCTAGGCGACACCAAATAATGCAAATCAATGCGAAGCAGTGCCCATCAACGCCAAGCAAAAAACAAAACAATGTGATACACTGCCTTCCTTGCTTTGTTGTTCACCTGGGAAGTTTTGCTCTAATTAGGGTCGCGCTGGGTTCATTTTGTGTCTGCCCGTCTCGGTATTTGTCCATCTGCTCTCGTGTCTGCTCCGCGCTCGCAGCTGTACTGTTGCACGCACTGCGCGCGCTCACATCAGAAACCAGCGCTTCCAGAACGAAGTGAAGGCCATATGCCGAGAAGCCGGACAGAGGTTTATGGAGCAGGACCGCTGTAGTTGATGCGGGGAGGCCAGGAGAGGCAGACGAATCAGCCAGGGCGTAGGGAAGGATGCGGGGGCCGCGGGTGTGACTGGAGACGGGGCGGCGGGAGAGACGAGCAGGAACGGCCCGCGGATTCAAAGGTTGCTCCTCGGTTGTCTTTCCGGCAGTCGCTGTCTCCGTGGGTGCGGGCCGCCGATGCTGCCGCCTCTGTCTCTCATCGGCGTGCCTGCCTCTGGTGGCTTGGACCTCCACCGGATGTTTTTCACGGTGGCCCATTTACATCTGCGACCATCTGCGAACCCTATCCCTGCGGGTCCACTCGACCCTGGGGGATCGTGTGTCGGAGACTCCCGCTGGGGCATTTTGCTGCAGACTCCCCTCAACCTTCTGACCCTCAGAGAAAAACAGAGACCACCGCCACCGAGAATCCATCCTTGGGCGTGTCACCGCCCAGGGGTCGACGCACCCCCGATGGGCTCTTGGTGGCGGTGGTCCTCTATTTCTCCTCTGGGACCCCCCGCTGGTGCTTGCTTTACATGACCCCCAGGCTCCAGGGGAAGGGTTCACACGTGGTTTGCCTACAGTCGGACCGAGGTATGAGATCGAGGTCGGTTCGGGCAGGGTATTCTAATGTTCTTCGTGTCTGTCGGATGTTTTGGTGCATCCTGGGGAGGGTATCCTTGGATGTTCTGTGTGTTTGGGCCGGCGGAGGGTCGCATGTTCTTGGAGGATGTTCCTCTGTCCTAGGCCCGACGACTGTACCAGATTCGCTGCGAAGCACGGATCGCAGGACCCGCCTTTGGCACGGACCACCAGTGCCGGCTGCCAGAGCCCGCCGGCCCGCGCGTGTCCTACCTCAGCCGAGGCGTGGGCGCCTCAGGGGCCACTGCAGAGCCCTCCAGCGGGCCCCTTGTGGGCTCCGGAGGACTCCCGAAAAGACCTGATGAGTTCTGAGGGGTCTGCGGGGACCTCAGGAGCCCTGGATGCATAGATCCTCTGAGTCCGTATGGATTACCCGCAGCTCGTATCCTCCTCTCAGTGGCCAGTCCGTGATGGTTGCTCACCAGGCATGATCCCTGACAGTCTGGCCTCTGGCTCACTCTCGATGCATGTGTTTCGGGTCTGGGTCTGCGGGCTAACTTGATCCATCCTGGCCCTGCTTGGGCCATCTTAGCGTCATCCTGACGCGTCTTGCGCCCTTCTGGAAATCATCTTGTAGCGTCCTTGGGTGCAATTGTGGACTCTTGGAGCCCTGCTGGGTTTTTCCTGGGGTCTCCCGCCGACTTTGGGAGTTCTGTCCAGGCCATCTTGGAGCCATCTTGATCAGTGGGGTCTCCCGCCATCCTTGGGAGTCTGTCAGGAACCGTGATAAATATACAAGTCAGCGTGGTGAGATCTATCAATGAGCATGGCTCTCTGGAAGATTGTAGGCAGCCCGTCGGAGGCCTCTTGCGGTCCCTGGAGGCCGTTGGGGGGGCCTCGTGGAGGCCTCCTGTGGGGTGGGGCAATTTGGAGGCCCCCAGGGGTGGATTTCTCCCCCGCCGCCTTCTCTCTCGGCCCCCCAGCACAAAGCATCGTCCCCAGATGCGAGTCAGGGTCGGTTTCGACTCTATCGATCCGATTCGATGTCGACCGGCCCGATCTGATTCGATTCCGATATCCCGACGATCCGATGTGCATCCTGGCGCTGCCGATCCGCCCCGATGCCGGCTCCGTGCCGATGCGGCCCGATCCGGCGTGCGCCTCGATCCGATCCGCTCTCCCGGTCCGATGCTGGCTGATCCCGAGGGTGGGCAGCGGAGGCCGCGGGGCCACGAAACGTGTGAGTGTGCCGGAATGGGCGGCGGGACCACATGCGAACCGCGCCACTGGGACCTTCGGTGGAGCTCCCTGTGGGTCACGAGACCTGTGATGGGTGTGCCGAGATGGGCGGCGGGACCGCAGGCGAATTGCGCCATGGGGACCTTCGGTGCAGTTCCCTATGGGGCCACGAAGCGTGTGAGGGGTGTGTCGAAATCAGACGGTTGTAGATGGCAGAGGCAGGGGTGGGAAGAGGGAGGAGGGGGAGGAAGAGAAATCCGTAGCCATTTCGGGTCAAGTTTGAACTTCTTGGCGCGGCAGCTCGAGCTTGGAGGTATCCGCTGCTGTGCGACAACAGTTAAAAGGTCCCAGGCCGCAGGAGGCCACGGCGCAGCCTCGCGCGCGCCACAATCAGTCTTCGTTGTTTCGCCATCTTTTGTATTTATGTTACATCATTTTTTGTTTTCACGTCACATCATTGCCGACGACGCCCGCAGAGGCGCGAACGTCAAGCGCAACGGCAGGGAGCTCATGGACGGCGGCATCAACACTAGTGATGGCGTGGACTGCAAAATGTTTGAAGGTGAAGAGTTCAGAGTTGTGTCCGAAGCTGGAGGGCGTCAAGTCCCCTGCGCCCCTCGGTGATCCCACGGATACGCTTTCCCCTTCGCATTCTTAGGCTGTGGGGCGTCACGGAGGAAAGGGTGGTGGCCACGCTGGCATTGGCAGCGCCGCACATGTTCAGGGCAGAGGCGGTGGTCTCGCGCCCACCGTATCGTCTGTTTCGGAGAGTGGGACCGCGGCAAAGGCTACTGGAGCAACCGCTGCAGTTGGTCCTCGACCGAGTCGTCGTCGAGCTAGAACTGTACATGACCATCATCAGGAAGAATGTCCGCGAACATGTGGATCGCACGAGGACCGGCGTCATGGGCATCATCCAGGTCATGCAGAAGATCTTCATGTCGCTCAGTGGGGCCATGGCGGAGCACTGTGCGAGCATCGGCACAGCGGCGGAGAAGATAGTTCACAGAGTCGAGCACGCCGTCAAGCTGCACGACACAAACGGTCGACAAATTCGAGAAGGAGGTGCCAAAACTGCGCGACCTACTCGGGCTCATGCGAAAGGTTGTGCCACCTCCCGTGCCCATGGGGGTGGATTTGACCGTGAGGTGGACCAGACCATCATCGTGGTTCGAACTGTTTTTCCGATGCCCAAGACGGCGATCGGAAAATCCCTCACACCCTGGCTGGTGGACTCCAACTTACAAACGGAGGACTTTGAGTCCCAGGGCGATGGCGGACAAGATCTTCCAGAGTCGAGGTAAGGGCCAGCGGCAAAGATGGTCAACCAGGCCGTCGGCGCGCTGAGGCTTCGTGGGCGTGATGCGGGGTGGCGTCGTTTCCAATCTATTCCACCGACGGGAGGTGACCCAGTCGAGATCAATGTGGGCGCTGACGAGAGCCCGAAGATGGTCGCGAAGGAGCTCGATTGCAAGAAGATCTCTCGGGAGCTGGTGGAGATGGACCCCGCCAGGCGCTTCTGTACGGACAGGGAGAAGGGGATTCTCATTTCATCATGGGAAGAGTTGGTCTGCTCCGATTCTGCGCCCGCGGCTCCCCCTCCCGCCATCACTTGCAGCCGCAGCTTGCAGGAGCTTCAGATGGACGAGGCTGAGGTCAGGCGTGTCACCCATGCTCTCTTCGGGGAGCAGCAGGGTACATAGTGGGGTCTGCAGCCGCTTGCTTGCTGCTGGGGCGGACAGCAAGTGTCACAGGCATTCCATCACCTTCGCCCCCTGGAGCGCCAGGGCCCTGCTACATCATGACTTCCAGCATCGTGGCAAGCAGATCGCCTACCTCCGCTTCCTCGCCTTCTTTACCGCCACCCTTGGGATCCATGAAACTCATAGGACCGTGGCGGGAGCTGAGGACGCGCTGCGTGAAGATCCACGATCCAGTTCGCATATTTCACTCATTCGCCGACAGCACGAATTCCTCTCATTGTTCACAGGCTTAAGTGCTGCGGGCCAATGCTATGCGCGAGAACTGATGCCAGGACGTGTTCTGAATGTTTTGTTATTTTGGATGAGTCTGGCGGCTGCTGGATTTTGCATTGGAGCGGCCGCAATTTTGTGATGTCTCGGGCTCGGCGCCAGTTTGTGGCCCAGGAAATCTAGAAACAATCGCGTCCTGGCCAGTGCTGCCCCTGAGCGTGCGCTGGTGAGTTTTTTCGGGCAAATTCAACGCGAACCAGGCCCCGCCCGCCCCGTGCGTTTCCCCGTCCGAGTTCCGTCGCACTTTGGGGCGTCGCGAGTGGCCAGCAGGGCGAGATGTAAGCTCTGATTGGAACTGTTCTCGAAGATGGTGGAGGCCCGGCAGGGCTGCCCCGCCCGCTGCAGGTTGGCGAAGGACCCAACGAACGTCCTCGATGGGATGTGTGTCTGTCTCCCTGGGTGGGGTCTAATTCAAATGAGTGCTAGAGGGGTTCGCCAGGGGCGCCGTAGAAGTCGTTTGCCGCCTCGACTTTTCTCGCCAAGCCCCGATCTCCACGAACCTCAAGAACGCCCACGAGATCCCCCCCGAAAAAAACAAACGCCCCTTCCCTGGTGCTCTTCCACACCCCCTGTTTCCAGGACTCCATGAAGGCCTGTCTACATACGGTTTCCTTGGAAGACCTCAGCCCGCCGCTTATGATCGACTTGTTGAAGGGGCCGGGTTTGCTAGGGGTGCCACTCTTCGATTCGAGTCCCGCGTCCGGGGAAGAGCAATCATCGTGCGCCGCTCCGTTGTGCGAAGCGTCAGGAGGCAAGCTCGGCAGCTTGGCGACGTCCTGTTGCCTGCGCGCGTTGCTGCTCGTTCCCTCTCCGATGTGGATGCCGACTTGGGAATCCTCCGCCCGCGTGGCCCCGGCCGCTTTTCGCTCGGGGCCTGCGACTCACGCTGCGAAACTACGATGGGAGTGACGACAGCGAGCGTGTTCTTCGATATGGGCCCCGTTTTGTCGACGGCTGCACCTGCGAGGAGTTCGGCTCGGCGCTGGCGGTAGTGGCACCCGTCCTGAGGAGATGTCACAATTGCCATGTAAATATTGGGCGGGGGTCTGTGGGCCCGAGATGACGCTCCAGGGGCCTGCCCAAACCTACCTGGGGAAGTTTGGGGGCCAGGTGGACTTCGCGGCCCTGCCGCCCCCGAATCGCTGGGGAATGCGTGCCAGGCTGCATGTCCTCGGTGCTCGATCGTCTACCGTATGCTGCATGGCGCTGTGCGCCCGAGGCAGTGGAGGTGCTAGATTGCATATCTATTTTGGAACCTGGAATGGAATGCGCCGATGTCGTCGTTCAGCGATGCGTCGGGGATATTTTCACCGAAAGGGGAGGAGGAAGGAGATGTGGCAGGAGCTGGCCGTGGCGCCCACTCGCTCCGACTTCTCGGTTTGAACGATCCGGAGAACGAGAGTTTTTGCCGGCGCTGCGTGCTGGCCTTTCGCGGTCAAGATGCGGGAGGTCAGCTGCATTCTGCAGCGCGGGTCCATGATGGGTCGGCAGTGCGGCGACAACGTCGTTGAGCTGGACACGTGTGTTACATTGGCCTCTATGCTTAACGCGGCTTCGTCCGACCTCCCCGCCGTCGTCTCCTGCGCTTTCTCTCGGGTTTTCCCCTGCGTCTCTCGCGCGTGGCTTAGTGAAAATGCCCAATCGTGCGGCTCTCCCTGCTCCCCTCCTCTGGTTCTTGTAGGTCCTCTACTCCAGCTTTCAGTGCTATGGTGAGTTAGGAGGCCAAACTATATGGCAGTGCGCAAGAAGGTCGGGCATCATCCGAGCCTGCCCTGTCAGCGGAGCCCCTTTCGCTGCTGCGCCGATACGGGTCCTTCTCGATTTTAAAGGGCTGCGATGTTGAGAAGTACCGAGGAGCGATTTTTCCCTGTGCAGGTGATTGAGGATGAGTCCTTTGATACTGAGGCCCATTACCGTTTTGTGCCATCCAACTGTCTCACATGCTGGTGGCGCTGGCTTTGACGACGTCCGAGTGTCACATCACTCCGTTCAGTGGGCCCTTTGCCCGAGAGTTTACTGCGCAGTGTGCGGATGTCTCTGGGGGGCGGGATCTAGCTGCTGTGCAGGCTGTGCGGGCCCAGATTCTATCTAGCATTCTTTCTCTTGCCTTCTTTTCAGAGAGGCAGTTCAAGAAATTGTGGGGGCGGTGTTGGGGGCGCGGTGGGATTACCTATTGCACTGTGTCTTCTTTATTCGGCCGCTCGGGCGCGGAGGGCCCAGACCGGGCGAGCCCCCACGCAGAGCGCGGCGATGGCCTTCGTCCCAGCGGTCCGCGCCCCATTGCGGCGTTAGCGCGCGCGGCAACAAGGCGGAAAAACCAAACGCTTCGGCCACGCGCGAGGAGGGGGAGGAAGAAAGGAGGTGAAGAGAGAAATGAGGATGCGGGGGGCTGTCTCTTCAAAACGAGGCCCCGACACCACAAATGGATGGGAAATGCCAATTTCGGCCTCGGCAGGAGGAGGAAGAGGAGAAGGACAAGGAGGAGGAGGAGGAGGAGGAGAAAGGTGGAGGAGGGAGAAGAGGTGGACGGGGAAAAGGAAGAGGAGGAGGGGCGCGAATAACAATAGTAGTAAGAATAAAGATGGTAATGGTAATAATAATAGTAATATTGAACAGGAGGAACAGAAGGAGAACTATGAGGAGGAGGAGGAGGAGGAGGAAGAGGACGAGGACGAGCAATAGTAATATTAATGGTGATAAGAGTGGTCATAAGATTATGCATATTATGGAGACAAATGATGGTTCATTCTGTTACGAATATTACGCGGATTGGTGCCAATCATACTACTAATCGTAGTCGTAGTAGTAGTAGTAGTAGTAGTAGTAGTAGTAGTAGTAGTAGTAGTAGTAGTAGTAGTAGTAGTAGTAGTAGTAGTAGTAGTAGTAGTAGTAG